GGTTCTTGCATACATTTCAAATTTATGCGTTATGCCGTCAGAAGGGAAATATGTTCATATCTCTTAATAAGCTCACTGCGAGAACGGAGGATACATTAAATATTTGCTCTCTCTATCTCCATCTTGTAGGAATATTTAAATTCGTTTTCTCGTATTCAGAATCTAAAAGTAATGAACTTGTCTCTAATTAAAAAGTTGCACGGATATTGATAATTTTGAGACCCGAATTTTACATTTTTAAAACTTTACTTTTAAAGGCGACGGAATGTCGATAATCTTCACCGAATGGGGTTGTAAATGTAAAAAAAAAATCTTTTTGCTTTGATAATTATGCTGTCATTTTGAAGGCTTTCAGCAACAGAAGTAAATCACACAGATATAGCGTTTAAAGCTGCCTGCTGTATGGTAAACGGGTCAATACATTGTAGTTAAGAGTCCACACGCAACAACGGAAACTGTAAACGTATGTGAATAATTTAGTTGTTTGGCATGTTTGCTTTGTCGTAGAAGCTCATGAAATAACAGAGTTTAACTTTTAGATTATTGTTTAATCACGTTACATTCGCTAAATTGTGGCAGTATAACCAAATAAAACCTTACACCAGCGGTTTGATTATAAAGTGACCAGAACGAATCACTACAATTCATTAGACGAGGCTTATTAATTTGACCAGCTTTCGACGTGCGGCGGTTTATAAAAGAAATGTGGATAAGGTGGGTGTTAGCCAGTGTCAAATCGAAGTCTACAGAGAAATGCGATAGGGAACACGGACGGCCAGGCGTTATGACGAAGGGAGACTTGATGCGATCTCATATTAGATTTCTGGACCAATATGACCCCCGATCGTCGCAAAATCGAAGAGAAAATTACTATTACATTCGCCATCTCTCAGCAAAGCTGGAGAGGACCGGTAGTTCTCCTAGCTCTATAATCTACGGAGATGTCTGCTATCACGATGAGGTCATGCTTTCATATAGCCAGCTTTTGCAACGTCAGATTTTTATTACACTCGCGATATACTTTCCTCAATCAAGATTTCATTATAGATAGGGTAAATTTTAATATCGGATTCAATTTCATTCTGACGGTTTGGATTTAAAACGTTGCGCATAAATTTTCACTAATAGTAATTGCTTCCTTTGGTTTTAATTTTGGGGAGAAATTGAAATATCCCGTAATGATGAATTTCGCAGCCGCATTATTTAAATTTTGTGTATTGTTTTATTTTAAGATAATCAACTTCTATATTTAACCGACGTTGTCCATTAGCATAATCAATCCGCCATTTTTATAACCAGTACTATTTTAAATAATTATTTTAGAAATGATCAAATAAGTTATGCAATTTCTTCAATAAATTAAAATTAGTTGTGTCATCCAAGCATAACAGATACAATTGAATAATTTCCATTGTGTAGCTTAAGCATCGGAACAACAATGCTGCGCTTTACTGTGAAACTGCAATGCATTGAACAGTTCCATTTGTAATTTCGAATCTCTCACATTTAATATTAACACGAGCCGGTGTTCCCCGAGAAGAACTTGAAATATTAAAATTCCACACACAATTTCCACTTTAGCTCGATTAGTTCGTTTGCTATAATAAAAAAAAGATCTATTGCTCGAACTAAAACGCTTTCGTCGTATAACACATCGCTTTCACCTCCACAGTCTGCAAATATCGTGTGAAATTAAAAGAATTTTGAGATTAGAGTGATAATAACGCGACAGCGTAAATGAAAACGGCCAATAACGCTGTTTGACCTTTTTATTTACAATTTTGATACATTTCAGTGTCGAGTGCCCACTGTACCGATAAAACCGGATGTCGTATTCAACTGAAAATATTTTATACATGTGTTTCTACATGAAAAAATGTGTATTGGTATTATTAATTAATTTCCAATCCCCATCTGACTCCAATTGCTTGAATATCCACTTAAATTTGAGAGTAAACCTCGATATAAATGTTCATAAGCAGAAGCAGAAGGAAGAGAATCACATTTGAGGTGATAACTTGTTGACAGCCAATATTTTTAAAAACTGTTTTTGACCCCCTATTCAAACTTGCTGATACAGTATCGTATATTTTGCAAAACTGAAATAAAAAAATCGTAAAAGTTATCTCCGGTCGTTTGCGATAAGAGTCCTTGTCTCTGAGTACGATAATTAGTTTCAAGATAAGCACGTGTTATCGACGAAGTAGGTAGATGTCAATTCTTTCAAAGACGCAGTATTTTGTTAAGGAAGAATGAAGTGTGAAAGGATAAATGTTTTAAATAGAAAAGGAAAACGTTAATCGATGCCGTTGGGTGAAGCTTTTTGTTTTGTTGGCGTTATCTGTTACAAAACAGTCAGTTTTGCCGGTATCGAAACCTTTTGTAAGATAGTCAGTTCTGCCCTTTATAAAGTTCTGTAGAAGAAAGTCTAGTCGAGTGAAACTCTAAGTTGTGTGTTACACGAAGAAAAGTGAATTTTATAAATCGAGTTAAGTGGAAATCCGATCGTGTCCAATTATGAATCTAAACCATACGGTGACACATAGACACAACAAATTTTACATTTCATTAAAATCCGTCCAGAAGAATTTGAAATGACAGAGAAAGTTATGACGTGAGATACGCGTTGTCTTGGCGAGGATCAGTCGAGTCCCATGTAGCTATGTTGACATGGAGACAATGACTGATCCAAAAGCAAATCACAGAATCCCGCGGGACCATTACAGTACTTTGTGCAATCAAGCCTCCGAAATGTTGTTTTCATCAGACAAGAATTGGTGGAACCAGCGGATCAAAGTTAAATGTATGTGACACAAAAAATTCTGCTAGGGTTATCACTTATTGCAAGACAAGAACACTTCTGCAACATTCTCACGCAGCTACTAGAAGCCGAAGCACCCTTTCATCATTAAGTAACGAGCTGTTCGACGAGTACGCTGCGAGGATATGTATGAATCCTGATCCAGACTCTGGGTTCTTCTTAATGGATCATCCTTTGTGTGCAGGCCTAATGAAATACGATTTTGCACATTATGCTGCTGTCAAACATTGCATCTGCCTACAGCAGCTGTAAGAGGGGAATATGTAGAGGTTACTCCTTTTGGGAACCGAGCACAACTAGGTGTAAAGTGTGAAAAAGTTCTTCAGAAATTGAAAAAAAAACGGAAACCCTCTGTAGAAGATCCCACACAATTAAGCACGGGATGTGCAGGATCATGAAGAAAATAGACTCTTCAGGAAGCATAGACTCCTTTTCATTATCATTCCTTAACCAGACAAGATGAGAAACCAGAGTACGCTGACTTGTCAGAGGAAGAACTCCTTGAACTAGCTACACAGAATGAGGAGTTAGCTCCTGGCATTACCGACGACCAAACGGACTGTTTGTTCCTTGGATGGAAAACCTACGAAAGGGTGATACAAATTCTTGAGGAGACATCTGCAATTAACATCAGCATCAAAACACATTCAGATGGTTAAAGATGTCCTCTGAGATTTTAGGAGCAAGTCCGTTTTGCAATCACTGTGATCTGCATTATTATCTGACCAGATGCGCCTCCTTTGCGCCGATTGAGTATTCATCGTGGAGACCTGGTGGCGTAACGTAGAGATTATTTCCATTGTTAATATTGTAAGGACATTTTAAACCGACCGCTTGTGTTTTGGTGTGGCGCTAAAATCAAAACTAATATCACACTTTATACTTTTTGGACACATAAGATATAGTAGAGATTTTTGAAAACCAAAGACATTAATGCACTTTTAGGAGCCTCGGAGGAAGTTCTCTTATTTTTCAAGAGCCCCAGTATGTGATCTTATTTGAACTTATAGTAAATATAGCAAACCAATTATCGCACATTAAGTTTCGGTTTCTTAAAGTTAAAGCTTTGAACTTCTGTTTAATTATTCTTAATTAACTAATTATTTCAATCCTTTTGAAATCGTTCCTTACCTCACTTAAAGCAACTAGAAAAAGTCGTTTATAAGAAATTCATGTTATTCAACGGCATTTGCTCTTGACATTTTAAGACGAATCAATGCATTTATTTTAGTTAAGTTCCAATTAAATTAACCTTTAGGGTATGTTCGTTTATTTGACGGTTAACCGATTTTGTTTACTTCTACTTTCCAATTTGAGCAGTAGTGCCAAACAACTCGTATTATTTTTAATTAAATTTATTCGAAAAAGGAATGTGATAATGGTGATTATTTCCTCTACACGCAGTATGTCAGACTATCATACTTTCTGTACCTATTCATTAAACGGGCGTTCAGTCGTGGTATTGGAGGAGGACTATGGCCTTCTGTTTCTAGTACGAAAATAGTCCAAGTGATGTGGTCCCCGCTGGTGTTAAAGTCGTTGGTATTACTATTGCGACAACATTAACCAACGATATAAATTCTAAGGCTCGGTTGTACAACGTCAGTTTAAACTGTAGTTGTTGATAAAGTAGAAAAATTAAAAAAGTATACAACAAGTCCTGGGATCCATCACCTTTTGCGCGATAACTGGAGAATGAAAACGAATTTTGAATCCTGTTTTCTGTTACAGGTAGCTAAAGACTGAATCAGTTAAGTCCTCGTGTAAAATCGAAGGGACAGTAGCCAGCTATTAGCCAGTTTTGACTCCACCATCACTAACACCTTGTCGGGGGCTACCACATTCTCTTCGTCGGTACCCGCTTCCAACGGTCCTTTCAACTGCAATTCGCGTTTGAAGTTTTGTCAAGGGCTACCACATTCATTTTGATTAAGGATTAAGGATGTAGGTAATTTAGTTAGGGGTTCACTCTATATTTAAGGTTATATTCTGCCTCGTCTCATAAATAAATGATATGTAGTACCTACGCCTCTGGCTAGAATATCCACAACTTTTAAAACGCAGAAAACCCCCCTCCTCTACCTATTTCGTCGCCGATAGCCAGTCTTCGTTTTTGTGCAAGGGTATCCGCACGTTTAAAATCCCGCTGCCTTGCATTACAGTTTTTCTTTTGTTTATAATGCCTAATGAACGTTTTTCGTCGCGTAAGCGTCGCAGAAGCCGAAGCCGGTCTACTAGCGGATCTAATTCGGGTATATATAATCTATTAAAAAAGATTGAGTTTCGTTTATCAGCGGTGGAACGAAAACAAAATAAACGTGCACGTATTGTGAGTGAGACGGAGAGCGAAAGTGAAGCTACCAGTTCAGGGTCAAGAGACAGCTCACTCGAACAAAAGCGGTACAAACAACGTTCTCCGTTGTTTTCTTCGGTGAGGGAGAGAGATGCACCGGTGGCGGTGGTAGAAGATGTAGACGACTTCACGGATGCACGGGGCAACGTGGAACGTAAGTTGAAAAATTTTAATATAAGTTTTAGAGACGATGCAGTTTGTCAAGAGGAAATTTCCCTACGATCGATCTATTCGGGTTACCAGTTTACTTAATCTGTTCGTATTGACAGATTTTTTAAATTGTGTGCTTCTGTTTGGGATAACAGAAAACTAGTTGCGCTTTTGCTAGTTAAAATACATCTGTTTGGGATAACAGATTTCCATATTTGAAACCTGTTTGTGATGACAGTTTTCAAGATATTTACCTGTCTGTGATGACAGATGTAAATATTTTAGTCTTCTGTTCGTGACAACAGAGACTCTTTATGCACCTGGTGACAACCGATTATTTATCCCGCCCTTTTTGATTGCAGCGGCGGACAATCGTCGTGGCGAAGAAGGGGGTGATAGGGATATTCGCCCGCCGGCGTTGCAGGATGACATACTCTCAATACTGGGTGGCAATGGGGAAATAAAGAAAGTTTTTGGCGACCCCATTCAAGTAGAAATCGCCAGCCGTTGGTCGCACATCTTAACGCATGGGTTAGATGAGACAACTCAAAAAACCTTGTTGGACGATTATCTACCTCCAGAAAACTGCCCCTTGTTACGACCACCCACTGTCAACCCTGAAGTTAAATTGGCCGTGTCGGATTCTGTTATCCGTCGAGATGGTCGACTGGTGGCCCTTCAACACCATGTAGCAGCGAGTATGTCAGCTATTGGGTTAGTGTTGACAAAATTGCTTTCTGATACTGATAAGAATAGGGAGAGTATTCAGAAACTAAGCGACGCGAGCCGCTTATTGGCTAATGTTCATCATCTAGAATCAGTGTCTCGTAGAGAACTGATTGCACTAAACTTAAACAAAGAACTTAAAGAAACTTTGGTGAATACTCCTATTGGAGATTTGCTCTTTGGGACAGATTTGGATGGTAGACTCCGGGCGGCCAAAGATTTAGAAAAGTCTGGACAACAGCTAAAAATCTCCAAAAAGGCTAGTAAGCCCATAGCACACGCACCGACTTCTAAATCCAGTCAGGGAAACTACAGAACCCTCCCTCACAGAGGTATGGAGCCCGCAGAGGGGGGCAGGGTTTTCGGGCTCTACCGACGAAATCTCGAGGCAAGTCCCAGCGGAACTCGGGAAGAGACCTAGAAAGATCCTATCGGAGCGATCAGCGGAGGCGACAATATTAGAACACACGGTTAGTAAGCCAGGTGGCCGTTTAAAGAATTTTTTTAATCAGTGGCAAGCATTACCAGTGAATAGGAAAATTCTATCTTATATAAAAGGTTTTAAAATCCCATTTGCTACAGAACCCTGGCAAACAGTTGTTCGTGTGGAAAGGAAGTGGTCCCCTAGAGAAGTCTCAATTTTAAACCAGTCGGTAAGAAAATTACTGCAAAAGGGAACTATTTCTCCCGTTGATCCATGTGCGGATCAATTTGTTTCAGGAATTTTTCCTGTGCAAAAACCCGACGGTTCGTATCGGTTGATACTAAACCTCAAAAAGTTTAATCGTTTTGTGGTAAATAAGCATTTTAAAATTGAAGATCATAAGGTGGTTAGGAGGCTCTTATCGCAAAATTGTTTTATGTGTACAATAGATTTACAAGATGCGTATCACTTGATACCAATACATGAGTCTCAACGAAAATACTTGCGGTTTCTCTTTAACGGTTGTCTCTATGAATACAACTGTTTGCCGTTTGGGTTAAGTTGCGCCCCGAGAGTTTTCACTAAACTTTTAAGACCGATAGTTACCCTTTTAAGGAAAAAAGGAGTTCTTTTAGTGGTGTATTTAGATGACTTTTTGATCATAGGAAAAACCAGTGAAGAGTGTGCCTATAATGTAAAACTCACTTTGGATGTGCTAACGCACTTTGGGTTTTTAATAAATTTTTCAAAAAGTAGTCTTATACCCAGTAACACATGTACATTTTTAGGTTTTGTTTATGATGCAAATTCCATGACTGTGTCATTACCAACTGAAAAACGAACTAAAATTATAAAATGGTCAACGCAATTTTCTAAAATGCACAAATGTACAATTAGAGAATTTGCAAAATTCATTGGCACTCTTGTTTCTGCTTGTCCAGCCATTAAATACGGTTTCCTATATACAAAATTGCTCGAACGCCATAAATATTTAGCCCTGCAACGTTCAGGGGGTAATTTTGATGCTAAGGTCCGTATGTCGAAACATTTACTTCCAGATCTAACCTGGTTCATTCATAATGTTGCGCGGGCTTTTAAGCCAGTGCGTATCGCTTACTTTCAACTAGAATTGTTTACTGACGCTTCTAAGTCAGGCTGGGGGGCGTTTTGTAGAAACAAGAGTGCTTCTGGGTTCTGGTCACATAGTGAAAAGAAGTTCCATATAAATTGCTTGGAACTCCTAGCATTATTGTTTGGGCTACGTTGCTTTGCATCGGATCTCTCGAACTGTAATATCTTATGTCGAGTAGACAACACGACAGCAGTTGCCTCTGTGAACAGGATGAGCAGTGTCAGGTTCACTGCTCTGAATTACATCACTCGTCAAATATGGCGTTGGTGTGAAAAACGCAATATTTTTCTTTTCGCTAGTTACATAAATTCCAAGGATAATGTAGAAGCAGATAGAGCTTCTCGTCAAGTTCACAAGGAAACTGAATGGAGTTTGTCAAGCAATGCCTTTCAAAAAATAGTAAATAATCTTGGAAGGCCACACTTGGACCTGTTTGCTAGCAGGATAAATAAAAAATGTAACACGTTTATATCATGGAAGAGAGACCCAGAAGCCTTTGCAGTAGACGCTTTTACCATATATTGGGGAAATATAAAATTCTATGCCTTTCCACCCTTCTCTATGATATTGCGCATGCTTCAAAAAGTCATAGAGGATAGAGCAGAGGGAATAGTTGTTGTTCCACTCTGGGTCTCCCAACCATGGTATCCGATATTTAAGTCTTTGTTAGTTGGGGATCCGGTTATTTTCAAACCAAGTAAATCACTTCTTTGTTTTAACAGAATTCCTCACCCGCTTTGGCCGAACCTTTCCCTGGTGGCGGGGAAGTTGTCAGGAAAGCGTTATTCCTCGGAAAAGTGCCAAGAGACTCCATAGATATCTGTTTGGCCTCAATTACATCGAGTACCTTAGCACAATATAACTCAGGTTTGAGGCGGTGGTGGGAGTTCTGTTCTAATTCAAATATTAATCCTTTTGTTGTTACGGTCCCAAATGTTTTAGAGTTTTTAACCTTGCAATTCAAGAGTGGAGCATCTTACGGAACGCTTAATTCGTACAGGTCCGCGATAGCACAAATCGCTGGTCCTGATCTAGGACAGGATTTTCGATTAAAGAGATTTTTCAAGGGAGTGTTTGGTATACGCCAACCCTTACCCAGGTATGAGAATACCTGGGATCCTGGGATAGTTATCAATTATGTTAAAACCCTTGATAATGAAAAAATCCCTCTTGAACTCCTCACCCAGAAGCTAGCTGTTCTATTAGCCTTGGCAACAGGGCAGCGTATACAGACCTTGAGCCTTATTGAGATTCATAATATTTTGATTCGGGCAGATAAAGTAGAAATCAAGATACCACGTAGGATTAAAACATCGGCTCCTAATAGGAGCCAACCCTTTCTAACCTTACCCTTCTTTGTCCACGACCCACAGGTGTGCGTGGCAAGCACCATCCTAAAGTATTTGGAAAAAACAAAAAAAGTAAGAGGCAATTGTGTTTTTCTGTTTGTCACCTGCAAAAAACCGTTCCATAAAGCCACGACACAAACCATTGGTAGATGGATCAAAATTATTTTGAGTAAGAGTGGATTGGACACCAATATATTTAAAGCTCAAAGTACACGACATGCCTCGACATCTGCTGCGGCGCGAAAAGGTCTCAATTTTGATACCATCAGACTAGCAGCTGGGTGGACAAAAAACTCTGAAACATTTGCCCGATTTTATAATAGAGTTCTTGTCAATAATGAGCAATTTATCAATGCTGTTTTAAGTTCCTAACTGTTGTTGGAATATTTTTGGTTATGTAACTAGGGATTAACCTTAATCTTAGTGTGTTTAAGCAATTAGGCACCTTAGCCCTTAATTAGCTTATTATTCTTTTTACTATATTAAGTTCATCGTTCAATAAAATAAATGTTGCCACCTCTTTAAACATCTACATATCATTTATTTATGAGACGAGGCAGAATATAATCATAAGATCAAACGAACTTACCTTAAGTGAAGTTCGATCTTGATTATATGAAGGCCTCGTCGAAATAAATAAAGTCCCACCCTACCCTTACGGATATACATCTACGATTACATCATCCCATCTACGATGGCACATCTTTAAAAAGACTGACTATCGGCGACGAAATAGGTAGCGGAGGGGGGTTTTCTGCGTTTTAAAAGTTGTGGATATTCTAGCCAGAGGCGTAGGTACTACATATCATTTATTTATTTCGACGAGGCCTTCATATAATCAAGATCGAACTTCACTTAAGGTAAGTTCGTTTGATCTTATGATTATTATAATTGTATAAAAAATGTTCACTTGTGTTGACGAACCCAGTAAATTTTGAATTTTTTGGTAAATTCCAAAATAAAAATATTAGTGTTTTTATTTTCCAAATGACCACACGGCTTGCCCAAACTAACAAAAATCTGTACATTTACTGTGTTCGTAAACACCAGTGAAAATTGATTGCTAAAATAAAGCGAGTAAAATTTGTTTTGAAATCTAGGTGTTTTGGTCTTTTGAAGTCATTTTCAATGAGGAATTACGGGGTACCGTTTCATTTATTTTGAAAATAGTAGTAGTCCTGAAATTCTGCCTGACTTCAAAGTCCACAGCTTTTCTAGAGCTTCCAAGACTATACATAAATACTAAAACAATTTGGCGGGAATGAAAGTCAATCAAATATGCTGATAGATACTCAAATAAACTTTATACAGGGTGTTTCATTAGGAATGGTACATACGTTATTCAGCCCTGTGATGTATCACTAACGTTAAACTTAACCTGTAGGTTATCTGTCGAAAACGTTATTTTACCCATGCTATGAATATGACGTAATATGGCCCAGTAAAATTACACAAATAAAGGCCAATCCAAGGAAAAAATCGCGGAGTGGAAAATTGGTGCAGCTATTCCTTAGTGTCTAAGGTTCAAGATAATAAAAAGTCCTTATGAGTGGGGGGTGAGCTAACGGGAGCGGGACCCTTTTTTAGTTTTTGGCTTGTATCTCACTAACTGTCACTCGTAAATAAACCACTGCTGTTCTAAAAAAATCTGCCCATTGTCAGTAGTCGTTGATTTAATCTTCTATTTGGGATTTACATTAATCAAATTCTTCTCAAACAACTCTTACAAACGGAATACTGATCTCAGCGATGTGGACGGGAATCTCCCCCTTAATCTCGGTGGAATCTCACTTAATTATCTTCAGAAAAACTCAAGAAAGACGTGTTCTCTACGTCAGCCAGTTTGATAAACGCATATGCCAAAATTTTATCACACAATCTCTTTACCCCGCAACCTCACGAATTATGAATTGTTAGAAATTCGTCACCCAACTCCAAGATCGATTTTTGTTAATTACTACCAAATAAAAAGCGTGTGTGTTTGAAATGCCGGCACGTCAAGTAATCGAAAAAGGCTACAAAACTATTAACTGTGAAACCATTTATGCTTAAAATGGTATGTAAAGACGGTGGCAAAATTATAGGTACATGCTTGTATAATGCTATGCATTAATCAATCTTACAAAGGGAGGACGTTAATTATTTTTATCTCAGATGTCGTATTCGCGAATTTCTGAGTGTAATGACACGAATCATTTTTGACGTAAACATGCTAATGTGAATAAACTGGGATTATATGGAAAATTGTTATAATGGAAGAATTTAGGTTATTCCAACCACTTATTTATATAAAAGTATAACTATGTCCCATCTGACATGCTAAGATTTATATTAAGCCTCCTTTTTAGTACAAACAGGAGATTTTCGATTTCGATAACGTTTTTTGTTACATTTCTATAGTTGGAAAGAGTTTCCGGCTATTGTTCTGAAATGTTTACTTCAAAGCTTGTAAATTATATTGCATATTCTACCTTGGGAGATCATTTGTGTTGTTTTGATTCAAATGGTTATGATTTTATGAAAAATACATCGGCGCTTGCTGGAGAAAAAATTGGATTTATAAAAAATATATAACAGCCACTACGGATAACAAATTACCTCTTTGAGAGATTAAGGGCGGTAACAAAATGGGAGGTTCAGCTTGAGTTTGATTAATTTATTTTTACCGATGCTACAAACTCAATTTTTCCCAATTACTGCGTTTTATTAAAATTTTAACGCGAATTAGAGAAAAAAAACCTAACGCAAAAAGAAAATCAATTACGATCTCATTTTATTAAAATGGACTTATCCCTAAAACTCGGGTAAATGGAGACCAAGACGTTTATGTACTCTGTTGCTAAAATAATAAAGTTATTGGCAGTTTTGATTTATTAGCTAAACACTAAATCAATATAGCGTGTTTCATATATCACAGCCAATACAAAACAGGGTGTTGCCATAACCTGAACCTTTTATCCAGGCTATATTTTAATGGTTACTTTTTATAAAGCACAAAAATTTTACTCACGGCTTGTTTTGTATTCTCCAACTTGACTGCCGTAGTGATTGATGAATTTTCCTGAAACAACGAAAATTAGATTTTATATGTACAATTCATATTGGCAGTTTTATAACGCTATCATTTTTGTTTTATTACGTAATTTGGCGTTTTATTAAACGAAAGTCGCTTCGCAAAAAGTTTGATGCGATTCAACAAAAATGTGTTCTTTGTTAGGCGACTAAAGGGAAATTAAGGACTTCGTCGTAATCTCGTAATTTAATACATTTTTTGTTTGTAATTTATTGAATCATTGAGAAATAACTTCTTAGTTCGCAACGCGTGCGCGATGAACGTATGCTAACACACGCAATATTATCACGCAATGCATATAAAAGCGTCTCTTGCAATACAAAATCTGCATTTTAAAATTGGAGTTAACAAATTTCTTTAATTAGGTTTTTGTATTACAAAGGCCTGATTCTCATGCACCTTTTAAGTAGACAATTGGTAACTATGTTCAGCTGAATTGATTGGCACATTTCGCTTCGTACGCTAATCGCCAAGTCGGACAATGCTCCAGAAGCCAATCTACTTTATTGTTTCACGCCCCAGGGCCAACTTTTCCAATAATTAAAAATACACAGATTGGTAGGATAGTTTATATATTTTTTATTATACCTGAATCACAATCTCCGTTTTAAACACTCAAATGCGTGCGAAAAAGGGCCTTTAAAACACACGTGCTTTAAAGTTGCTAAGTAACGATACTTCAAGTATGACTTTTGAAACTGTCATCTGGATGAAATAAAAAATCCTCTTAGGTCGCTTTCTGTAAATGCAGAACATTTCTTTGGCTTTTGTACCTATCCTTTGGTTGAAGCTTTCACAAACGCGCGTAATTTAGGGTATACTTCCAAATCTGTTCCACTTTTTAATCGCAGCATTGCTTTAAAGTGTTGAATGAATGCACCAAAATATAGAAGATTTAAATACCTTTGACATTTCCTTCATATATGCCAGCATTATGGATGCATTTAAGACTGTATTCGTAAGTAACTTCCTATTCATCCATGGAAAACAACTTTTCATATTCTTTATAATAGGCTTTACTGGAGTTGGATTTTACACCTACCAACGTTTGTTTAGATTTTACAACAATCGATTTAATGGACGGTGTATTATCTTTTTCAACGGAAATCGTTTAATTCACAAAGACGATGTTTTTTAAAAGCAAACGTCAAGTGACATTTCCATGGCAATCGTGAAATTACGAACACCCAGCCCACTTAATTAGACATGTATTCGAGTATAACGTCAATATGACTTCATTGTATTCCCTATTTTTAAATTATACTGCAGGTATAATAAAAAATACTATAAGATACACGTGTATAACTAGTCTTTAAAGCACTTGCAACGTTAAAGGCACTCCGCTTTGCGTCGTGCCCTTAAACTCGTTGCGCGTGCTTTAAAGACTTGATTATACACTTGTATCTTAATATACTATTTAATATATTGCGCATAGAGACTATCGGCAAGAATTCAATATCGAAAAACTTTTGTGAGCTGTATTCGAGTACTAAAACAAACAAAGTGTAACTTTTTAAAAGCAGATTTTTCCGTCATGTAACTGATTTTTAATCAACTCGGCGCCATCTACTTGAACTTAATCATTCTATAGGGTTTAAATAGGATAAGACAATTACCAAAGTGTACGGAATGAATTTAGTGTCGACTTATAACGTGCGGAATTGACACAGCAATAGAATTAAATTAATTTAAAAAAATATATTTTTCAAGGTAACAGGAAATGGAACACTATGTGGTCTGTCACTGTGACGCCTTGGTCAGGTACAGACATCAACTTCTTGGCGCCCGTTATCTGGAACCGGTGAAGCAACTTGCACTAAACAGGGTTCTTGGGCACTACTTAGTAAGGCTCTCCTTGATAGACTTCGGCGGTAATGTCTTATCACATAGACCGTACCGAGTTTGAGGCGAATTTAAAATATGAATTGCAAAGCACGACATTCTTCTCCCTTTAATATTTGTCATAGCAAATGATAATTTGATCCCATTGGGCAAAATTGATGAGTAATATGTTATCGATACATTCCATCGTCCGTCACTGCGTTGGTCTTGAGGTTGAGCAAGATAGCAACAAAATAAGTTTGGCTCATTTCATTTGCATGCTATGCTTCCAAAAATTGCTCAAAAAAGTTTGAATTGCAAACGTCTGGCAATATGAAATATAAATGTATTAGGTTAATAGTTATTCACATAAAAGTCAGGATAATAACACATTACTGGCGAGGAAATATTGAAGTGCGAGGCCCTTTGGGGCCGCGTACTTTAATTTTCGAGTCAGGTAATGTAATTTTACCGACGA